ATATCGTGCCTGCAAGTTCTTCATTTGCTTCACCAAATCCTTCATGCTGTCGCTAACATTGACCTCTGTTGACTCGTCATCGGGGATATCTTCCCAACAGTTTCCATGGCACTGCGGTACACCCAATGCCACCATCATAAACCTATCATTTTGGGATGACATCAATCCCATTTTTAGATAGTGATATGACTGATATGAATTGGTGATAGGGATGGTCTAGGGCTGGTAAACTTACCACATTATTCCACATATTCGGCATATCCCATGATTCAGTGCTCTCGTGGACATCTCGGCTTCCCGCATCCGTCACACCAGTTGCGGCATCCTGATGCAACGCATCAAAAGCGACGGTTCGCACGAGCGAGGCAGTGAGGTTCGCTTTGCCACTACTTCAGAAAAAAATCAGATGTTACTATAATATAATATATGTGATTAAGATGATATAAGATGATCATAGAGAGAGGGAGAGAGATATATATATATTATAGATATAGTACAGCCAGCTAATCAATATCAACAAAAAAATGGATAAACCGATAGAAATCTCGCTGGATCCGGGGAGTTCACCTTCAAAGTGTCGAGTTTTTTCGCCAGTTGGTTGATGCCACCTTTGACCTGGCAGGGGGGCATCTGGGGGAAACAAAAACAACAAGGCTATGCCGTTTTGCAGGGGAAAAATCAGGGAAACCACAAGTCTGGAAGGGGGATCATGAATTATCATGAAGTGCAAACAATTCTCCAGAAGTGGGATCATTGACCATGAATGACCATGATGGAAATGATGATTCGAATCATTTGAAGCCACCAGCCATGCCGCCTGCGTGACGCCTGCAGCTTGATCCTGGCTGAAAATCGTGGGGAATTCCCTTCGGGTCCAAGGCCAAACTTCGCCGAATGCCGAAGAAATGATTCGTCCATTTGTCTATCCATGGCTGGAATCAACCTAATATATATATATATATATAAATAAATTATATATACCCTCTGGTAAACGTTCACATAGCCATGGAAAGATCCACCATTTTTAATGGGTAAACCATCTATAAATGGGCTATTTTCCATGGCTATGTTAAATAACCAGAGGGTAATATGAATCCATTTCCCGCCTTCAAAGTCCCCATTTCAATGGCCATGTTGCCCAAGCCACTTGCAACCTGCCCAGCCACGAGTGCCACTCGATGTTTTTTGGGATCTTTTGTGGTCCCATGGCCCCATCACACACGCATTAATATGGATACTATAGCATAAGTACTAAACATAACATAACATATTATGACAAATAATGCTAAATAATGATAAAAGAAGCGCTGATATTATAGATTTGTGAGATATATTATAGATATACCAACACTGTGCGCAAAAGAAATCGTCTTTTTCACCAGCCTGACCCAGCAGGGCACTTTGCCTAACACCATGGCTGCGATGCGCTCGGCGTGACAGGTTTGTGGCACTCAGGTCGTAACAGGCGTCGGCTGGGAGGCAACCAGCTCTTGAGGTCGAAAAAGTTGTCCCTGGCATCAAAACACAGAGGATCTTTCATGATAATATATCATTTTGAGAATAGATATATATATATATATATACATCTGTATGTATGTATGTATGTATGTAATGTAATGTAATGTAATGTAATGTAATGTAAGTATGTATGTATGTATGTATGTAAAAATATAAGTATGTATATATATATATATGTGTATGTAAATGTAAATGTAAATGTATATGTATATGTAATATGTGTGTAGAATTATATATATACTAATATTAATATATATATATAATATCAATATATATATGTATACACATATGTGTGTATATATATATGCATATGTAAATATGTGTATGTATATACGTAAACGTATATGTATTTACCTGTGTGTATATATATATATATCTATGTAAATGTATACATATATGTATATATAAATATATGTATGTAAATATGTATATATATATGTATATTCGTAAATATATTTGTATATGCATATGTAAATGTAAATAAATATATGTATATATTTATGTAAATATATGTATATGTATATGTAAATATGTGTATATATGTGTATATATGCATATATGTATATATATATGTATGAATATGTATATGTATATGTATATATGTATATATGTGTATACATATGTAAATATGTATTTATATATGTATATGTACATATATATATGCATATATGTGAAAATATATGTATATATATATGTAAATATATGTATATATATAGATGTAAATGTAAATGTAAATAACTATAAACATGTAAACAATATATATAATACATATACATATATACATATATGTATATATGTGTATGTATATGTATATATGTGTACATATATGTAAAAATATTTATGTATATATGTATATGTATATGTATATATGTAGGTAAATATGTATATGTAGATGTATATACATACGTATATATATATATGCAAATATGCATATATATATATGTATATATATGTATATGTATATGTATATATATGTAAATGTACATATATTTATATGTATATATGTAAATGTATATGTATATATTTATACAAAAATATGTATGTATGTATGTATGTATGTTTGTATGTATGTATGTATGTATGTATGTATGTATGTATGTATGTATATGTGAACATGTCCTCATGTGCGCCTAAGGTTCCCTTGCATGGCCTATAGCCACTGCCAGGAAAACATGCCGGTGGAAACGGTTTTGAGGCCTGCAACGAATCACGAGAATCCCAGCTGGGAGACCCCTGTTTCCTGTTTCCAGAGGCTAAAATCAAGCACATGATCAAGATCGTATCAGAACATCACAATGGAAATACATACTGATTCCATCAGATTTCCATTTTTTTGGTCCTACTTGGCGTTCTGCACGCTCAATTGCCGGCCACATGTCTTGAAAATGGCTATGGAGGGTATGCTGGATCCCTTTGAAGTGGTTTGACAATTTCAGGCAAACCACACTGCGACACACATTCCGACTTGGGAGACGCCATCCTCGATCAAAATCGGATTGATTTTCTCCACATCGGTGGAGTTCATGTTGAAACTGGCTGCCCATTTCTCAGCATCCAATATCATCCAATAGTATCAACTTCGATACATTCTTGGCCCATGAGCTTGCCTGGTCTTGGGACAAATCTTGCACAGAGGAGTAGAAGTTCTTGAACTTCGGCGCTGGTGGTGGGGACTCAGTCCAAGGATGTCCAAGGCAAGGCACCACAGAAACCACATCACCAGAACCAAATGATTACCTGGTGTGGCGTGAAAGTGGGGGAAGAAAGTGGAACAAAAGGAGCCCCAAGAAAGGCACCAACGAGAAGGTGAGGCGAGGTTAAACATCAGCACGTCCAATTTTTGAACATGTCGTTAATGATCCATGTGGGGGAACGAACGGAAAATATATGAACATATCAATCCCCATAGATGGTATAGATGGTATAGTATAGGTCATCTGAGGCAGCAGCAAAAGCTCCCGGAGGCAGAATTCCGGCAGGATTCTGCGAGAGTGTGTTCAATGGGCGATAGTAGCCTACAGCACGGCTGACGCGATGTGATGACATGTGATGACTAAGGAATCGCTTCTGAATTTTCATGAAGAATCCAAAAGAATAATATCAGATCAGATGAGTTAAAATGAGAAGAGAAGTGAAGAGCACATACGATCATATAAATCTCAAAAGGACCCAATAGGAGATGACGGAGATGAGGGCACAAAATTTGATTAGACTGGATTCGGTAGGTAGATCGGCAACTGGCTAGATTGAGAGGCACACACACAAATTGTTACATGTAGATTTGTACGTCATATAACTAAACTTATAGATAAACTGAATAATGGGGGGTAAAACAATGATAAACCATCCCCCAAATCACCATAAATAGGTGGTATAAACCATTCCCAGTCATGGGTGATTTATGACATTGTTTTACCCACCTCAACTTAGCCACTTGGCTACCTGAACTGGTCACTGACAGAACTTGGCCACCGGCCAGTGAATGTTTCAGTGGTCGTAGTGGTCGCTTTCGTGGTCCAATAGCCAGGAGGGTGGTCCACCAGTGGCGGGATGTAGGGCTGGAGGTCTGGCAAAGGCCTGGGTCTACAGGACAACTAGAAAAAAATCCGTCACACAAGAGTGGGGCTGTGACGACTTCAAGAATTTTTGGACACATAATGACTAATAATGACACATATATTCACAATACATTCACAATTGCATGGCAGCCGGAGATGCTAATGGTTGCTGCTTTCACACAAATCACAAAGTTCCAGTCCTGCTTTTGTTGCCCGTGATGGCTGCAACCTACCAAGTTGGTAAACCGCAGGGCGGAGTTGCTAAGCTGAGATGTGCCACCATGTGCCACCATGTGCCATGGACATGGGCCAACTTGTCGCACTCCTTTTCCTGCGAGCTCTTTCCACCCTGAATCAATCAACTAGCGAAGCCACCGGCATCCCTGGTGAGGATCAGCCGTGGAGTGAAACATGGTGAAACTTGACGGCCATTTTGGATATCAGTCTGTTCACACTGGTAGCTCTTGGTACAGTCTGAAGTTCATCTGCTGAAATAGAAGACTATGTTGACTCAGATCCATGTTCGTTTAAGTCTGCCCAAAACGCACTGGCATAGCCTCGAATTCCATGGTTCACCATTTCCCAAACTAACATAGATGGAAAAACACATCGCCAATTTTGAGAGGAAACTATAGTCAACTCGTCCAACATCTTGCAAACCCCTCATGGCAGGATCACCTTCGAGGTTTAATTGGAAGGCCCATGGCCAAAGCAGCTCCATGCTGCCGCCGCGAGATAGGTAAAGCTCCAGCCACTGGAGCTTCCACCTTCTTTGAAATCCAATGCTACACCATGGGCTGTTCAAGATAAGGAGGATGTTAATGTTGGATTTGACATTTGGATTTGAGAGGGACCATTTTAGGGGAATTCAAGACGAAACAAAACGAAGAAATCCAAGACATCCCACTCTGGTTTATTGGGACCTTAAGTCAAAATGTTGCGGCCCCCCCAATCCCCAAGGCTACCCCAAACGACCTTGGGAAGTGTTCGCGACTCTGCCGCCACATTGGAGGCCTTGACGCCACGGAGGGCGGCCAAGAAATGGTCGAAGTCGACTTCCACAGTGGCCTTTTGGGTTAACTCTTCCCAAAGCTCACGACGAAGCTCTGGAGCAAAGGTGCCTGAGATCTATTGAGATCTCGGGTCTGGGAGACCCGGATGTTTCGGACTGATTTCTGGGGTTTCCGGTTTGAAACGGAGACGAAATCGAGATTTCATGAGATCTCCATCGCCATGATATGGAGTATTGCAATGGCATCAGTCTGTGCAAAAGTGGAGGATGGGGAAAATGATAAAAACTGATATATAAAATGATGATCAACCATGAAAGAACCCATTCTTTGATTGCTTCCCCGACATGGTGATGGCCAACCTTCCATGCTTGCGCTGTTCAAGACTTGCTCCAATTCTTCAAAGCTGACCGTGCCGTTGCAATCTTTGTCAAAGACTTGGAATGCAGCCCAGCATACCTCAGACTTCGGTATCCGTCCCGGGAAATCTGGAAATCTGTGATGCTTGGGTGTTGAATCCCACCATCTACGCCACAAATTTCTTGGTTTCAAGGCTCCAAACATTAGGTAAAACCTGGCGCTTCGGTACTCCACATCCACCCCGGTAATTTTATGCAGAAAACAACGTTTTCTGACAACCCAGGGTGGATTTGATTATGGGAAATCCCATGGTGATTAAATCTAATTCATTAGATTGTCACTTTCCGGATACGGGGTTTGCATAAGGTGTCAAAAACTCAAGCATGAAATTACTTTACTTCGAGTGATCCCCACCATGACATTTATATGTTTTGTTACTGGCAAATCTTCTGGCATTCTATCTGACATATCTTCGGGCATTCGATCAGGCATTCTATCTGGCATATCTTCTGGCATTCTACCTGAAATATCTTCTGGCAATCCCCCTTACAATATTAAGCTGAACCCGGGGGGCGCCATTTTATAAGAAATTCCTTATGAAATGGGAGTTCCATGGGGATAATTCTTTATAGAATGCAGATACTCAACGCTACAGCAATATAGGGAACTCCAATTAGCATTTTATAAGAAAAAACGCCAGCTTATAATATGACAGACCAGAGTCCAAAAAAACAGCTTATAGATCGTGGCCCAGACAATTTACTTTTTTGGTGATTACATTTTATAAGGTGGGAGTGGAAATTCCACAAATTATCACAAATTTATACTGAAAGTGACAAACTGTCATTCTATAAGGCACCTCCAGGGCATCTTATAAGAACAAAAACTGTGCAAACCTGATTTCTCCGGGATTCTCCGGGTATGTTTTTCTCAGTTTGTGCTGGTAAAACCTGTAATTATCAAAAGAAATTGTTTATATTGCAAAGATTTGCAAAGTAAGTGTACCTTATATAATGGATATTCAATAAAAACAAACATGAATCTTGCACGCATGCAATAAGCTTTTGAAACATTATAAAATGGCAAATAGTGATTCAGGTCACTGCTACAACAATAGGCATAATATAAGAAACCAAAACAACTTACTACCTGCAGGCGGCCTGCCTGTTATAAAATGATAATCGTACTTTGTGGTAAGGATGATATGACATTATTGTCATTTTATAGTTGCATAATACTACATATAACTACTATATACATCTATATGCATCGTTGTGCATCTAGATACATGTATATTATACATGTTTAACACCTTTATACATCTAATAGACATCTAATATATATAAAAGAAAGTACGAGAACATAGAATACAGAATTTTGAAAAACAGGTTTTGGGGCATCTTCCAGAATTGGAAAAAAAAACGGTGTACATAGAATATCCCAGGAGTGTACATAGAATAATTTTAATTCTGGAAGATGTTTTTTTGTTTTTTTTTAATTATCAAATTTTCACCCGTACTGTAGCATAAATGGACATAAGTGGACATTGTTCAAATTGTCATCTCACTAAAATCCTTTGGATTATCAAAATATCACTCATACTGCAGCATAAATGGACATAAATGAACAGTTTTCAAATTTTCACCACGCCAAAATCCTTTTAATTATCAAAATATCATCCGTGCTGCGGCCTAAATGGACATAAATGATCATTTTTAACTTTCACCCCACTAAAATTGTTTGAATTATCAACATATAACCCGTGCTGCAGCATAAATGGTCATAAATGGATATTTTTCAAATTTTTCACCCCACTAAAATCCACCAGAACACAATAGAATCCCTCACAAAATTGTTCAAGCTCACCGAAGGGTGCCCCCCACGACCGGTGTCGAAGGACTATTAAAAAGAAACTATTTTGCAATGGAAAATAATGAAAACCAATGGAATTAGGCGGTGTTCCTGAAAAAATGGATGAATATTTTCACTGGGGACCTATATTCTATGATATTCTATGTATGTAGTGGCTGCATTTGGCTACGTCATTGGCGCTGAGTGCCTTCCCAAACTTTGAGGAGGCCCAGCAAGGCTACCTCCATAGCTATACATCTAAATTGGGCAGTTGAAAATAATCATCTTTTGTGTATAAAAACATTTTTTTCCGTGAAAAAAAAGCAATTTGCTGTGAACACATTCTGATTTTCAGTGATGTTTAAGGACATGAGGTGTAAGTTTTTATCAAACTTACAGTTTTGAGGTGTGAGTTTACATCAAACCTACACTAGATTTACATATCAGGAGTGTAACTTTGATGTAAACTTACATGCACAAGTGTAAATTTGATGAACACTTACATGTTTGAGGTGTCAGCTTACACCAAACTTACATTTACAAGTATAAGTTTACACTTTTGCGTGTAAGTTTGATATAAATTTACAGTGTTGACATGTAAGTTTGATGTAAATTTATACTTATACTTATGATTTATGATGTGTAAGTTTAGTGTTAGTGTAAATTTGATGTAAACTTACACATCAAAAAGTGCAACTTTGATGCAACTTTACATCAAATTTACACCTCATGTCCTTAAGGGTTCCCGTCCCTGCCGCCAACCCCAGAACAAAAAAAAACACAAACATTGAATCATTGATGTATCGTATTTGCTGACCCAACCAACTTTCATGGGAACACTCCTAACAGTTTTTTATACCATTTTTTATGCGAACACTCCCAACATTTCTGTATAGAATTTTGCTTTTATGCATCCCCCCGTTCTCATAGACACCCTAAGACATGTAAGACACTCACTTCTTTGCAGAACTTCATACATAGAATAGAAGTCCCAAGGGAAGATTCATCCGAGGAACACCACCTAATTGCATTGGTTTTCATTGCCAAATAGAATTTATCATTTTTCTACGGGACCAGTCATGGGGGTACGTACCCTTAGGTGAGTTTGAAAAACTATTTTTTTCAATACAAAATCAAAATAAATTGATCATTTCGGGGGACCCGTTTTTTTTCTTTATTTTCCAGTTCAGGAGCTTCAGACATCCAGGGTTGCCTCCCTCCAAAGGGAATGATGTATGTAATATATACCCTTATACATGTAAGAGACTCAATTCCTTGCAGAACTACATACATAGAATTTAAGGGGCGATGATTTTTTTATTTTGTTTTCAGTCTGGGGCAGTTTTCCTTGCTATTTGCTACATTTTGGGGCTAAAATCTGTGATTTGCGTGCTATTTGCTGCATTTTGGAACCAAAATCTCTCTGATTTGCGTGCTATTTGCTGCGTTTTTGAACTAACATCTCTCATTCTGCATGCTATTTGCAGCATTTCGGAACTGAAGTCGCAAACTTGGGTAAATAAATCGTAAATTTGCCCGATAATTGCAACATTTTAGTTTCGCCCATTTTCCCATGGGTTTTCAACGATGTCTGGATGGTTTTCATCGTTTTTTTGATCGTCTTCAATGGTCTTTCCGTGGTTTCAAAGATTCTTTAGGGTTTCTTGTAGGGTTTAGGGTTTCATTATGAAAGTTTTATTTAGGGTTTCTTTAGCGTTTGATTCAGGGTTTCTTTAGGGTTTCATTTAGGGTTTCTTTAGGGTGTCGTTTTTGGTTTCTCTGGAATGTCTTTTGAGGTCTCTTTAAGGTTTCTTTAAGATTTAATCTATTTTTTTTTGAAGGTTTCAGACATCTAAGGTTTCTTTAGGTTTTAAAGTTCTATTTAGGGTTTCTGTAGGGTTTTTTAAAGTTTTATTTAGGGTTTCATTTCGGGTTCCTTTACGGTTTTCTTTCGGTGTTATTTTAAGGTTTCATTTAGGTTTTCTTTGGTGTTTTTTTAGGGTTTTTTTAAGGTTTCTTTAGGGTGTCGTTTAATCGTTTATATAATGTCTGCTGGGGGTTCGTCGGGGACACATTGGCCAGGGGCAGCCCTTCTGAAATGCTAGTCCCAAGCTGCGTAGGTATCTTAATGTTGGCTCCTGATTAGTAGCTAGGTTTGCTATTGTGGCAAATTTTCTCCAAATTATTCTGAAACCCATGTATTGTTTGGAGGGCTCACTTTTGTGGAAAAAAAAATGGTAGATTTTTTTTGGAAAAAACAACCTGTAATTGCGAAGAGGAAGACGTTTTTTCCAAAAGCAATTGCCAAATTCGAACTCCAAGCCTTTCCCAAAGGAGCAAATCCCTTATTAAACCCTTATTAAAGAACAGCTTTTCCACAATTTTCCAAGGCCCTGCACCAGGAGAGGCTCCATTTCACTTTAGAAGGTTTGTTTGCTGGGTTCACTATTGTAGCAAGCTGTGCCAGAGCAGCTCCTGGAAGCCCACAAGAGAAGCAAGCCTTTTCCAAAAGCAATTGCCAAATTCAAACCCAAGCCAAAGGGGCCAATCCCTTATTAAACCCTTATTAAAGAACAGCTTTTCCACAATTTTCCAAGGCCCTGGACCAGGAGAGGCTCCATTTCACTTTAGTAGGTTTGTTTGCTGGGTTCACTATTGTAGCAAGCTGTGCCAGAGCAGCTCCTGGAAGCCCAAAAGAGAAGCAAGCCTTTTCCAAAAGCAATTGCCAAATTCAAACCCCAAGCCTTTCCCAAAGGGGCCAATCCCTTATTAAACCCTTATTAAAGAACAGCTTTTCCACAATTTTCCAAGGCCCTGGACCAGGAGAGGCTCCATTTCACTTTAGTAGGTTTGTTTGCTGGGTTCACTATTGTAGCAAGCTGTGCCAGAGCAGCTCCTGGAAGCCCAAAAGAGAAGCAAGCCTTTTCCAAAAGCAATTGCCAAATTCAAACTCCAAGCCTTTCCCAAAGGACCAAATCCCTTATTAAACCCTTATTAAAGAACAGCTTTTCCACAATTTTCCAAGGCCCTGGACCAGGAGAGGCTCCATTTCACTTTAGTAGGTTTGTTTGCTGGGTTCACTATTGTAGCAAGCTGTGCAAGCTGTGGGTACTACAAGTACTACAAGTACTACAGGTACTACAAGTACTACAAGTACTACAGGTACTACAAGTACTACAAGTACTACAAGTACTACAGGTACTACAACTGCAAGTACTACAGGTACTACAACTGCAAGTACTACAAGTACTACAAGTGCTACCAGTACTACAAGTACTGCAAGTACTACAGGTACTACAAGTGCTACAGGTACTACAAGTACTACAAGTACTACAGGTACTACAAATACTACA